TCACATGGGCCAAAGGATTAACTTCCCGATTCTCCAAAAGAACCTGTCTCAGTCTTTTTTTGACCGTTCATACCTTCTTTTTGCCTCTCTGTATTCTAAATTTGCTTTGCATTGGCCTGAAACGTTACCCAACACCGCTGTCAGAGGTGCTAGACACCATTTGGCGGGATGCAGCTCTATCGCTCTATAAGTGGTTCCGTCTCCAAGACATGGAATTCTATCAACCCGGCCACCCTTAGCGGGGCTATTGATGTCATTGTCATAGAACAAGAAGATGGTATTTACAGTTGCTCGAAAGGTGGCATTCACGCACGATACTGATTTGGCTTTTCTCTTTCCAGGAACCCTCGCTTGTTCGCCCTTTCATGTCCGCTTTGGCAAGTTTTCGCTCTTACGTCCATTCGAGAAGAAGGTGGAGTTCAAGGTAAATGGCGTCAAACAAGAATATGCCATGAAACTGGGAGAGGCGGGCGAGGCGTTCTTTGTTTTTGAAACGACCGATGACATCCCCGCATCCTTGCAGACCTCGCCGTTGGTATCTCCGACAGCGAGTCCGAGAGCACAGAGCGAGCCGGATTTCCCACCTTCGCTGCAGGAACCAGATTACCTTGATTTGGACAAAGGAAATGGTGATGCATTGTCAGAGGGCGCAAAGACTCCTCCGCCGATGGCAATGTCATCGAACCCGCTACGGGCAAACACAGATTTAGGTAGGGACAGATCCCCATCCCTTCCAGAGTTTCAACACTTAAGCATCTCGTTATTAACCGTTGTAACAGGGACAATAACCCCTTTATCGCGATCTCCCGAGGAATCCGATGTGACTCGTCCACGGCATGACTCCTTGGGTGCTAAACCGCTACTTGATCACACAATGTCGGACAATGTGCTTACGAGCCGCCCTCCTGTACTCTCTCTATCCAAACAGTCTGCAAATGGGGACGACGGACCCCAAGGAATCGCGGGCGAAACAGAGAACCGCTCTCGTAGCCCTCCTCTGTCTCCCCAGGAAGCGGTGTCCCGTGCCATTTCGCTGTCAAAGAAGTTGTCTGGTTCCAATATTCCATCACATGTCACCGAGACTGGAGATTTGATGTTGGATATGACTGGGTACAAAAGTAACGAAGAAGACGCCCTTCGTGCGGAGGTTGTTGCGCGCAAGATTCTTGCAGAAGAGCTTGAAGGAAGCTATGATATCGGTGCACTCATTGGAGCCGACGAACATGGCAATCTATGGATATACAGCAGCGAAGAGTCAAAGGAACTGGCTGATCGGAGAGCCACTCTTAACTCGATGCGGCCGAACATAGGGATGAACGATGATGCTATTTCCGACCCTGGATACCACAGCGAAGGTGAACACGCTGTCTCCGAGCCATCGTTGACTACGCGCCATCATCGAACCAAATCAGATGTCCAACCGGGCTTTCCCACACCTCCCCACTCACCCTTACATGATTATTTCCCCGTTGAAACTCGGAATTACGCCAAAACGCTCCGCTTGACAAGCGATCAACTTAAGGCCCTGCAACTGAAACCCGGCGCCAACACGATGTCTTTCAGCGTCAACAGAGCTATTTGCACAGCAAACATGTATCTGTGGAATGGCAACACCCCGATCGTGATTTCTGATATTGATGGAACGATTACCAAGTCGGATGCGTTGGGACATGTTCTCAATATGATTGGACGGGATTGGACACATGCAGGAGTCGCCAAGCTGTACACCGACATTGTCAACAATGGGTATAATATCATGTATCTTACGAGCCGGTCTGTAGGCCAGACAGATACCACACGGGCCTATCTCCACGGCATCTGCCAAGATGGATACAGACTGCCAAAAGGCCCAGTGATCTGCAGCCCTGATCGCACGATGGCCGCTCTGCGACGGGAGATCTACCTGAGAAAACCCGAAGTTTTCAAGATGGCATGCCTGCGGGATATTCTCAACCTATTCTGCGGCAAAGAGAATCCTTTCTACGCTGGCTTTGGAAATCGATTGACTGACGCATTGAGTTATCGTTCTGTGAACATCCCGTCTACTCGAATTTTCACGATCAATTCCAACGCTGAAGTGTCTCTGGATTTGCTTAGTCTCAACAAGTACAAAAGTAGTTATGTGACGATGCAAGAGCTGCTTGATCATTTCTTTCCGCCGACCAGCCTACTTGTGCATGACGGTGGCGAGGAATATACGGACTTCACATACTGGAGAGACACACCACATGAGCTCGACGACTTCTCGACCACAGACAGCGAGAATGAAGACGAAGATGACGAAGATGTTGATGAAGATCTAGCCGAAGAAGACGAGGAAGACGAAGAAGATGAAGATGAAGAGTACGATGAAGAGCTAAGCGAGGGTGAAGGCAGCGAGTACCTTGACGAGGCTGAGTTGGCCGAGGAAGATCTCGGCGCAAGCTACATGTCACAGGACTCGGTTGCCTTGTCCAACCCAGCAGGCTCAATAATTGAGTCGGTGGAAGGCGACGTTGCTGCCGAAGAGGGGAATATTGGTGAAGAGGAATTGTCTACTATCGCCGAGAACCCACAAGAAACAGCCGAGCCGAGCACAACCTCTCTTCCCATCCGGTCCAAGATGCCCCAAAATCCTTGAACATACACTACTGATGTGCCTCTGTGAAAAGGGATAGATCCCTAGGCATTTACTGCGTCATAGATACCCGTCTTGCGAGCGCTTTACCAAGTCAGATTCTGCATTAGACTGCTCTGACAGCGATATATCCACGTTCAACACTATTGCATGCAGACCTGGAGTTGGAGACTGCATTATACACGGCCATCTGTGCCCGACTCTTTCTAATACATGGCATTCATGGTGTTCATGGCGTTTTTGTTTCTTTCTGTTTTGTACATTCATGGCGCACATACTTGGAGCGTTGAACAGGATCATAAGATGAATAGGATGTAATGAATGAAACAACATTGAAGTGAATAAACTTGTGTAAACACATTGAATAGCTCAATGAATTATCTGAGAATACCGTGGAATAACTAGAATGTAACTGTAACAAAGGCCAGGGGAGTGGACCTGTTCCTCCAGGGCTGCAGGCACTGCGATTACCTAATCGTGATATTGGCCGGAGCCCTGGAGCTCATGCTTCTTTTCGGCCTCAATTAACCATCAGTTTCTCTCTCTTCATCCCCACACTGAACGCTGCTCATATCTTTGGCTGCTTCCTAGCCCCTGAGCATTATTCTAGGAATGCTGTCAGACTACCTTTTCCAAGCCTTCTAATCATCACGTAATTCAATATCTCGACCACTTTCGCGACACCGCGACACCGCAATTCGCTCTTTGCCTCCTGCTTGATCTTTGATCAGTAATCCAGGACAAAATGGCATCCCCAGTGCAAACACAGGGTCCAGCACCCACGACACAACCTCTCACTCCCCCCGCCGAATCCTCTTCCGCCGCGAATGGGGCCTCCGCTCCCGCCGCAACAAGCTCTCAGACTCAACCCCATGTCCCAGCGACAGGCCCTTCCACAACAGTGCCACAACCGCCCCCAGTGCCCGGAATCTCAACCCAAGATAGCGGCAAAACGCGACGACCACGTGATGTGCGACTGGTCCACATGCTCCTCGCCTCACTCGGGGTAACCTCCTACCAAGACCGCGTGCCCCTCCAATTGCTCGATTTCGCCTACCGCTACACTGCCAACGTGCTACAAGACTCCGTGCATCTCGCGACGGAAGGATACGCCGCTGCAACAGACGGTACCCCGGGCGCAAAGGGCTCCGGCGAAGTGAATAGTGTTTCTCTACCCGCATTGCGGTTGGCCATTGCTTCCCGCTTACACTTCCAGTTCCAGACAGGTTTGCCGAAGGAGTTCCTCATGGAGGTCGCATCGGAGAGGAATCGTATTGCTTTGCCCGGTGTATCGCGCGGCTTTGACCCTGCCGCCGGTGCTAATGGTGCTGTTCCTGCTGCGAACCAGAGTGTTGTTATTGGTGGCATGCGCTTGCCCCCTGAGCGCTTCTGTCTCACTGGAATGGGCTGGAATATGAAGGATGAGTGGGATAGTGAGGGCGAGGAAGATGATTTGCCTGATGTGATGCAGCAGCCCGGTGCTGGGAAGGGTGTCGGTGGTGATGGAGCTGAAGATAATCAAGACGAGGATGATAATGATGGCAAAATGGAAGATATCTTCGGTGAAGATACCACTATGGGCGAGGCAGGCGATGGGGACGAGGACCGGAACATGACTGATGTTTAAGGAAATACGTCCGGGGGTTCTTCTGCCTTTGACCTTAGGCTGGTGGTGTTTCTGGCGCTTGGTGTTGTCATTTTCCTTTTCTTTAATCTGTCATAGGACGGGGTCCTGGGTTTCTCTATCATGGAAAGCATCTATTTCATGACTCGTGTTTACAAATTGGGGTCAAAGTCCCCTCGCCTGATCATAAAAGGCAAATAAATCAATGAAGAAGACATCCGTCTGGTCAATTAAACCAAGATATGCAATTGTCTGTATATTGTACATAATTCAAATCCATCCCATCGCTCCGCATTCGGGATGATCATGCAATGTAATAAAGATGCCCAACAAAACGCCTGCTTTGTTTGCCTTTGTGCGCCGTGAGGAGAGAGAGAGAGGCAAAAAGATATAAAGTCCGAGTCCGGGTTGGCCAAGAAAGTCCAGGGCCGATCTGGCCGGCGGGACCAGTCTGATATCTGTGCAACAAACCAAGGGCGGAAAGAAGGCCAGGCTGGGCCGCCGGGGCTGTGATTTATGGGCCGAGTACTTTTGGATATACAAGGCCCAGCCGATCAGGCAGTCAGGTCCGGTAAGAGTCCAACAGCTTCCTTCCCCTAAACACTTGGCCCAAAGACGAAAGTCTCGCCCTCCGACCTCGGAGAAACGCAAGAAGCAGAATACTCAAGACGCCGAAACCCATATAGACAAGAAATACTCACACAAGAAAGGAAGAGAGCGAGAGAGGGATGGATATGTGGAAGAAAGGAAAATCTCCAATCATTTTCCAGCCGCTCGCGTCCGCGCTTCATCCTCGCGCATCATGCTAATAACTTCCGCACGCCGCTTCTCAACACGTGCAAGTTCCTCCTCGCGCGCGCGTCGCCGTTCCTCGTACCCTGCGAACCATTCCTCACGTGCCCGGTCCTCTTCTTCCGGCTTCGCGTGGGCGACCATGCATGAATTCATTGCGAGGCGTTGCTGGCGGCAGACCCATGTTGCAGTGACAGTGCGGTTAACGGCACACTCGGCGAATGCTACATCACAATTTGGTTAGTAGATTGTTCCACACAGCTTTGAAGTATAGGAAGTGGATCGCGGCCATGGGTGCCGGAGTTGCTCCTCCGATTGAGACCCATTACCGGCTGTTGCAAGTTCAAAAGTATGCATTATTTGCGAAGACGTAATGGTTTTGCATGGGAAGCAATGCAAATTGCCTACCTTTAATCTCGGGGGCGCAATGGGCGCGCACTCGCTTGTAGTACAGCAGTTTCACTTCTTGTTCTTGGGGGGCTGAGAGCGGAAGCGGATTGCGAAGATTATATTGTTTGGTTGTACCATTAGGTACACTTGTTGAAGAGGTGTCGGGAGATGTGGAAGATGTAGCCATTGGGACTGTATGTCGATCTCAAAGATCGAAGTTGACCAGGCTGAATGTATGGGATGGTTCGATCGGAGAGATTGCTTTGGAGGGGGATTGGTTCTGGTTGTTGAGGGGCAATATGTGAGCTGGGCTGCTGTAGAGCTCAGAAAATGGAATCGAGAAAGGCCGAAGTAGTTTCAAGAGGGTTTTACTGAATGGCTTTGTAGAGAAGTTCGAGACCAAGTGGGAGTGTTGATTGCGAGTGAGCCGAGCTCAGGCGGAGAGAATGTTACTATTGGCAGAATCAGAAAAAAAAGTTCTCCGACTTTGCATCTCGACTTTGACTACACTCTTGTGCTCGAGACTTCTACGTTTTCTTGTTTTTCTATCTTTTTCTTTCATCTACTATTTCTCGTACTGCATTTATAGCCTCGGAAATTAGCAACACCGAAGCTCAGCATGTCGTCCATGCGCAACGCCGTCCAACGGCGGAACCACAAAGAGCGTGGCCAGATTCAGGGCCGTGAGAAATGGGGTCTTCTCGAGAAACACAAGGTCAGTTCTTGCGGAGGAACGTTTGGGTTGTTTATTAATGATCCATGCTTTCTTTCTTGGTCAATTCGAAGACAAGGGTTCTAACTTCAACAGGATTACTCGCTCCGTGCCAAAGATTACAATGCCAAGAAGGCTAAGCTGAAGCGCCTTGAAGAGAAGGTGCGGGATCGCAACCCCGATGAGTTCGCCTTCGGTATGATGGGAGACAAGAACCGGACCCAGGGTCGGCACGGACGTGGTGCAGGCACAGCACGCGACTCTGCCACAGCGCGGGGATTGAGCCATGAGGCAATCAAGCTGCTCAAGACTCAAGATAAGGGCTATCTTCGGACAGTTGGCGAGCGGGTGCGCCGCGAGATTGAGCGCCTGGAGCGCGAAGTGCAACTGCAAGATGGCATGAACAAGGCCCTTGGCAAAAATGATGGGAAAAAGGGCAAGGAGAGCGATGAGGATGACGGGTTCGACGACGATTCCGATTTCGATTTCGGAGCCCCGGTGCAACCGAAACCAACCAGGACCGTGTTTGCCGAGGACCGACAAGACCAATTGGCAATGAAGAAGCAGAGGATACAAAAAGAAGAATCTGCTCAGGATTCAGAGGAAGAAGACCAGACGTCAAGCAACACCCGCAAGACACCTAAGCAGCTTTTGGCTGAGCGACAAGCACTTGCGGATGCTCGACGCGCTCGCAAGCTCCGGAAACGAGCCATCGAGGCTCGTAACAACAAGTTGACTGCGTTGCGCAAGCAATACGCTGAAATCCAGACGGCAGAGCAAGAGCTTGACTGGCAGCGGGCCAAGATGGAAAATTCTGTGGGGGGCACCAACAAGGACGGAATCAAGTGGAAGATCCGTGAGCGCAAGCGCTGAGTGTCTTTGTTTCGACGGAGTTTATGAGTGATGACTCGCTATCATCTTTTTTGTACATATTGATACCAACCACCATAGAGGCAGTCCGGCGCATACAGTAACATCCAAGGAACCCACTTCAGTCCTGGTCATCACTCCTGGAAACCCCTAGTAACACCACCAAGAGCCTTGTGTGTCAGGTGATAGCTGGACGACCTGCATACAGTAATCCTGAGCATGGATGATATAGCTACACCATGAAACACGCATCCAGCGATATAAAGCATGTTGGAAGAGTAGAGCCAGCTGGGGATATCGACAGAGCCCTCGTTCTAGACGAACTATCTTTATGCCAGACACTAGAAGCACTACATATACCAGATTATGACGATCGTCTGGAGGCATCTATGGATGTGTGAATATAAAGACTGCGACTCGCCTCTTGCAAGTAGCGGAGGAGCAAAGAAAGCGGTGCAGAATACGAGAAGATAACAAGACATGTCTCCTTTAGCCTGGTACCAGAGAATCTACACTGGAAAGCGAGCAAATGCAGGATGAGATATTTCAACTTATCACCTTGCCATTAGTCAAAATCTGAGGAATTTCGAGGGTAGGTCTTGATTTGGGAGCTGGTGGGTATTCAATTGCGCACTTAGGAGGTAAAGTTAGGGCTTATCTGATATTTTAATTTCACATCCAGGCTGTATGGATGAGGGTTCTATGGAGTGAAAGCTATATCAAGTCCATATCCCCATATGTAAGTAGGATCGGAATAAGACATGATAAGAGTCATTCAGTCATTCCAATATCAAATCGATGCCGCGGAGTAATCACACCATCGTTGATAGGCCCCGGAGCCTAATCGGCGGGCGACACCCACGCTTAATAATCATTTGCCACCCCTCCAAGGGTTATCTTCTTTCCTTCACTTTTTTTTCCTTCATACACAAAAATATAAAGATGGCTCCTTCATTTGTGACCATTGACGCAAACGATATGGACGTGGATTTCTCCTCGCCCAAGCCCGTCCAGGCCAAGCGCACCCTCCTCCTGGCACCCCCCTCCATCGCTACTCAAGAGGACAAACTCCGCGGCCTCTTTAGCACCTTTGACCGCTCAACCACAGACCTACAAATGCTCGACCGTCTCTCCAGAGGCGTCGTATCTCTCCCCGCAACAACTTACGATCTCGTCCTCATCCTTACCGACACAGACGGCTCACGGCGCTCCGAGGCGCTGCAACTCCTCACTCGAGATGTATACGCCACTCTAGTCCCCGCCATGAAAGCGGGCGCCAAGCTGCAATCCCAAGACTCAGCTCTCAATGCCTCCGACTCAATGGAAGCCATTCTGGCCGGTCTCGTGCAGTCCGATAACGGCTTCGAGAAACCAAACTTCGATCCCTCCGCCGCTGTCCCTTTAAAATTCGGCCTGAAGAAAAAGAATAAGCCTACACCAACCGCAGTCCCTAGTATTCCTACAGGATTCGCAGCACCGATGGGGATAGACGTGCCGACGAATCACGACCGCGACGATGATGACGAGCTTATTAATGAAGATACGCTCCTCTCTGAGGAGGATTTAACAAGACCCATAATGCCGCGTATGTCAACACCTTCAAATATTGCATTCCCACAAGATCTATATCATCTAACACTATTTTCAGCTCCAGAGTGCCAACCGAAGACCGGCCGTCGGCGACGCGCCTGCAAGGACTGCACATGTGGTCTAGCTGACAAGCTCGAGGCAGAGGATAAAGAGCGCCGCGCAAACGCAGATAAAGAATTGAACGTGTTGAAGTTGGATACGGGCGATTTGGCTGAGTTGGACTTCACCGTTCAGGGCAAGACTGGTTCTTGTGGAAGCTGTGCTTTGGGTGATGCCTTCCGTTGTGACGGTTGTCCTTACATGGGTCTTCCTGCCTTTAAGCCTGGCCAGGAGGTTCAGATTCTGAATGATGTTGCGCAGTTTTGAGATATAAAACTTGCGTACTTAACGACTGTGCCCAGGTGGGCTACCTTTTCAATTTTTCATGACGGAAGTGGGGCTATTGGGTCTTTGCATTTGTTTCTGAGCTTTGAGATTCTTTTTTGGGATACAAAATTATGCTAGAGGTGTCTGGCTTTAATCTGATTAAATTCTATCATATTTTTTCATCTACATAAAATGTTTGAAATTTCGAGTGGAGCCCAACGTCATTAGGTAGATAGACATCAGATCAGATAAGTGGGATGTTGATCTACCGGAATTAATTTTTAGAATATTCAAATGATATTGACTGTTTTAAGCTCAATTGGTGACCAACTTGCTTTCATATGTGCTTTTATTCATGGCGCATCCCATCATAACGAAAAGAAAGAGAAATATACGGTCTGCATGGCCTATGACTGGTTCTTCTTCATGTGGGCAACACGGATGCTTACGGCGCGCTTGTGCGCCTCAAGGCCCTCCACAGCGGCGAGAGTCTCAACCGTCTTGGCGAGACCGAGCAGGCCATCGGCGGTCAAGTTTGAGCTGGTGATGTGCTTCAGGAAGGAGCCGAGGTTGACACCCGAGTACTGCTTGGCGTAGCCGTAGGTAGCTGGGAAGGGATATGTTAGCAATATTCGAGCAGGAAAATAAAGAGGTAAAGCACTTACGAAGTGAGTGGTTGACTCCAGCGGAGTAATCACCGACACTCTCGGGGGTCCAGGCGCCGATGAAGACACTGCCAGCGTTCTGAACATCCTTGACAAGAGACTCGGGGTTCTCGACCTGCAAGATCAGGTGCTCAGGCGCGTAGTCGTTGCTGAGGGTCATGGCCTCGTTGATGTCGCGCACGACAAAGGTGACGGAGTGTGCGAGGGAGCCGCGGACGATATCCATGCGTGGCAGGGCCTTGGCCTGGGCATCGACCTCGTCTTCAATGGCACTCAGCTCGGCCTCGTTCAAGTCGACGGCGATGAGGATGACCTGCGAGTCGACACCGTGCTCGGCCTGGCTGAGAAGGTCGGATGCAACAAAGGCCGGGTTAGCGGTCTTATCGGCGATCACGAGGACTTCGCTAGGACCGGCGGGCATGTCGATGCTGACGCCTGCGGAGGTATCGTTGGACACGAACATCTTGGCGGCTGTCACGAACTGGTTGCCTGGACCAAGGATCTTGTCGACCTTGGTGATGCTCTCGGTACCGTAGGCCATGGCAGCCACAGCCTGGGCACCACCGGCCAAGACGATGCTCTCAGCACCGACCTTGTGGGCGACATAGACGATTTCGGGGGAGATGCTGCCGTCAGAGCGGGGAGGTGAGGCCAGGACGATCTTCTTGCAGCCTGCCACCATGGCAGGAACACCCAGCATCATAGCAGTGGAGGGCAGCACAGCGGTACCGCCGGGGATGTACAAACCCACACGCTCGATAGGGCGCGAGAAGCGAGAGCAGACCACACCGGGCATGGTCTCCATCTCGAGGGCTTCGTTGCTTCCCATCTGTGCGGAGTGGAAGCGGTCGATGTTGCCAATGCTGACATCAATTGCCTCCTGGACATCAGGGGACAGCTTCATGAGTTCAGCAGGGAATGGCGCGTGGATAACAGGGGAGGTGAGTGATGTGGCATTCTCGAACTTGTGGGTGTATTTGAGTA